ATATTGTATTAAAATATTCATGATTTGAATCAAATGTTGTCGAAATACTTGTGACACGATTATATTACAATAGAAACTCATAGACATTGGTACATAACTAAGAATCACAAATATAACTGAGAGAAATGTTTCGAATGCCAATTGTTCTAAATTTTTCTTTTGATATTGACTATTTATTGAGTAAACAAGAAAAATTGGTTGTATGAATGAAAAAAGAACATAAATAAAAATTTCCATAAGCAGCATCAAAGTAAATTGACGATCTTTCGATTGAATATTAGAGTTTGAAGCAATAGCTGGATAAATTTTCACACGATGTATGTTTCTTAATATCATGAAAGCAAAAATCGTCAAGAGAAAAGTCGGTACTAGACCACTGATAATAATGGAATAATATGAGATAAAAAGTGAATAGTTACCAGAATCGTAATAACAGTAGCTAAAGCCAAGTGAAGTAGATTGTATATTTACTCGAAAAAAGACATGAACATGAAAGACAATAGTAAAAATTGTAACACCACCAATTAATTGATAAGCCAAAAGACGATTACTTCGTTGTCGTGTGAGAATATTCGGTGAAGTAATGAAAAATCGATCAATTGAAGCGAAAATGAGATAGAATGATGAAAGAAGACCGAATACAAATATTGAATAAAATCTTAGCCGACAAATTCCAACATGTATCGAATCTACACTGATGTCAAATGCAAAATATAAATAAAGCGGTAAGAAACCAAGCCAAAGAGAGAAAAAATTGGCAATGTTAAACGCTATGAAATAGATTGCACATGGATTTTGTCGCATTGATCTTCGTGCAAATATAAAAATACTCAACAAAGCACCAATCGAACCTAATACCATCAGACTAGGTCCAAAAATGTTATAGACAATCACTCGAATCTTGACATATTTTGCATACGGATCAACCATTGACATGACTGAAGCGATTTGTAAGATAACTTGGAATGCAATATCTGAGTATGAATAAATCTTCAAAAGAAAAAATACGCCAGTATATTGAGTTACTAAGATGTTTTATATTAATCTTGCAAAACAGAGGCATGTAATGAACAGTATATAAATATGAAACAATTGGATTTTAATAGATTTCCATTGTCGTATTGTTATAGAATAATCAAAAGCGACTATAAGTTTCAAAGTAATTTTTTACTATAGAACAGGATATATGTAGACTTGTAAAGGAAGATTTCCTCTATCTAATGATATTGATATGTCAATCGATGATGTCATCTTTCGCTGTAGCTATTGCAGAATGCTTCGAAGGTGACGCCATCTAACGATAAGTCAACGGTACGCAATAGAAGTTGATAGACAGTCTTACTCTACAAGCCTGCATAATATATCCCGTTCTGTAGTCAAAACCTTATGATTGCCTATATGATTTTGATTATTATGATCACAATTAACGTTCATTGATACTCGATTTATTTAGCCCTAGACTGATCGAATAGATGTGAAATATGTTGTAGATGTAATTGCTATTCACAGAACGATTGCTTTATTCTATCTATTTAAGGATACATGTCTTCATCATCTTTTTACTTAAACTTGCAGTAATTTAATAACAAAATGGTTGATATATTAGAACGAGACGTTATTGAAATACGATCTTCGATCGAATATAAACAATGTCTTGCACAGTCTGTGACGGATTTCTTCCAGATCATGTTTCATAATACATGAAGTTGAGAATGATCCGATTTTTCAGTCTTCATATTATTCTATGTCTTCTTTATGTTTGGAATAAAACTTATATTATATATTGATTTACAGAGATAACATACAAATCTATACCATTAGTAATATTAGCACTATTTCTATTACAAAAAGAAAAAAACTCAAATAATGTGATATTAATTTATGAAAATCTTATATTCAGACTCACTGTCCAACTCTTAAAAACTATTGCATCACATCACCATGTATACATGATTGAACAATCGATCAAGCCATTGAATAGTTTAATAACAATAATCATCACTTGTAAAAGCATCTCACTCGAATAAACACGCTCGTCAATGACCGTAAATCATCTTATATTGATGCATTACATGACTCAATATGACAATCGTATTTCTCCATATGTGATATGGAGAAATACGATTGTAATATTGAATCATGAAATTAATCAAAATACAGTTGTATACGTTGTAATATCGAGTGTATATGGCTTTCGTATTCATCACCCTAGGATATTACTCCTCGATTATTTGTCATCCTATACAGTCATTCGTACCATAGCTACCATATCGTAACTGTTACAGGCAGACAGACACAGATGAATTTCCATTTCAGCAAAAGAAACCGGTGATATATGATGTCATAACACAAATACTTAAAGATGCCGGATAAAACTGATATGAAACGATTTTCATCTTCGTTTTTTTTTTGGTGCTATGATCATAAATTGACAAATACTGCTGAATGCTTGAAAAGAAAAATCTGCATACAATTGTTACTTTTTGTTCAAGTAAACGTGATATTTAGAAAAACAATTACATTACAAGCGTATCTTTATCACTACAATAACAACAAAATGGAGATTGCAAAAAAGAACCAAATCTATCGATTGAATACCTTCTCAAGATTGTGACAAACATTTTTTTAAGGGGGAAATATGAAATGAAAAAAAAAAGGTTCATATGAAAGAAAATTCAATGAACAAGAAAAAAAACCGTCCTTTGATATCAGCAATATTGACAAACTAAATAAATAGTGAAGATGGATGATAAAAAATAAATTAAACATTTTCGTTCGATGATTAATATATCTTTGAAGGATGTTTATCTTAGCTCGAGCAATGTTATACGAATAGAAATTTTCGAAAATATCTATTCTCTCTTTCTTTTTATACATTAATGTTTGTATAAGTATGTGTGACATGTCATTCATTCACCTAATGATACTTGTTGAAAGATTACAATTTAGAGATATATTTCTTTCCAATTCGATTCTATTTTTTATTTGCCTAATCATCAGTGTATTGCTTTCGTAGTATTTATAAGAGATTGGTATGGTTAAAGCTCATAGTAAACACGAACGATTTTCGAGTCGTTTAGAGTTATACTATATAGATCCAGAAGATCCTTATGTAGCACTTATTTGTTAAATTATTACAAAGATAGTCGACTAGTGTGAATAATGATTAGCATGAGGTCATGAAAAAAAAAGACTAATCAATCACAGACGTACCAATAGTACCAGTAGAAAAAATCTAATTGAGCCTGTCTAGATCGATAGTCAGAAAATACTTCAAAAACTCACAGTTTTTGATTGGTTGTATAAAATAAGAAGAAAACATATAACGATAACATAAATTATTTGATTAAATCCTCAAATAATTGAAGGTTATGTTTCTTATAGAAATAGTTTTCAAGCTCTTCATCTTTCATTATTATTCTTGAAAATAAATATATTGAATCAAAAGTAAGAATATTTTGTAAAATATCACATTCATTATTCTTCAAAACAACATTTATGTCACTGAAATTTTCATTGAGAGAATTAGATGACAGTTAACACGAGAACATTTCTAAGTATCAAATCGCTTTTGAATCGAGACTATGTACATAGTGTAGATTCGGATGAGCTATGAATATTCTGAAAAGATTCCAAGCTAATAGCTGATTTTTAGTAGAATGCCGTACCCCTCTCCCCCAGGAAAACTAAATTTCGAATTTTGACTTGAAACTTTGTACAGAGATAGGTCCTAACGAGAATAGTGTATTGTGAAAGTTTTAGGTTTTGTGATTGCACTTATTCTCAAATAAGAATATCAGAATTTGTTGTTGTATTGAAGCGGTGTGAAAAACGTGGTTTTACGATACTGCCTTATCTTGGAATAGAAGCAATCAAAAGATCTGAAGTTTTTACAATAAACTACTCGCATTAAGGCGTATCCCTATGCAATGTTTCAAGTCAAAATTCGAAACTCAGTTTTCCTGATGTTCCTGAAGGAGATACGGTAAAAATACAGTATGTCGGCAGTAATAACCTATTAGTCCGAACTTTTTTCAAGGTACTCATAGCTCATTAGAACCTGCATCATGCACTACATAGTCCGGACTCAAAAGCAATATGACATCCATTCAAGTGAATTGAGTTCAACAAACAAATTTTTTAAATTGATTATAATTATTATTTCACAGTTATTTCGTAATAGGTGTGAAAGACGTTAAAATACTTGCCTATAATCAATTAGAATAGAACTATTTTATTTTTATATTTTTTTCAGATTGTTCGTGCATTTCTTTAAATTATCATTTGATACGGTTCGAAAACCGAGAAATATAAAAGATAAGTCATGTTAGGGGACATCAGTCATATTTATTCGAGCAGTTTGCGATTAGAAAGAAATCATTATTAATGTGTTAATAATTATTAAAAATAATCTGAATGGATAGAAGATGTCTCGAATGCTATTTCGTTGTCGATTTTTTAATGGTTTTTGAGCTTTATTAGAATCATTACTCAATTGATATCGTATCTATGGACAAGTAATCAAAGATTAAAGCTTATTTAATATTAATGTAATCCATAAAACACATTGTTAAAAAGTTTAATCTGTTGTATATTTGAGATTAGCCAAAAGTTAACTCGAGATCAGCACAACTTCGAACAATGAGAGTATAACAATTGTCGCTGATACTATTTCTTTCAAACTTTATTTATATGCGCATTAAAAAAAACAAATTTTCTTTGAGTTTTCATTTTTATAAGTATAATCTAATAGATTATTAATAGAACTAGATGAAAAGATTATTGATTCAAGGATAGGACAATTTGTAAAAATAAATCAGAATCAAATTATCATTAAAAAAAATCGCTCATTGATTGTTATGTTCAGCTGTTCCTGATACAGCCCAAAGCATCGTCCTGAAGAATATAGTAAAGCAGGCAAACCTATTGAAATATATACGAATCATTTTCGTGTATCCATTGATGATGCAATCATTAATCAATATGATATAAAAATTTCAATGATTCGTCGAGATGGACAATTATCTTTAGCACGAAAAGATGAACGTTGGCAAATATTACAAGAACTTGCTAAGTATGAAAAAAAATTTTCTCTTGTCTGGTAAGTTTTTTTTTTTAAATTGAAATTAAGACAAGGTTTTATTAATATGATATTAGGTACGAGGAAGAGTAAACTTTGTATACCAGAGAATTATTAACAGATTTTACAAAACCAATTCGTGTTACATTAAATATTAATAATGAAAAGAAAACATTTGAATTTGAAGTATTGAATCTTGTTCGACAAGAAAAAATTCGTGATATTTTTTTTGATTTTATTAATGGACAAACTGGAATACGACTAAGAGATCCTATTCGAGTTATTGAAACTTTATTTAAACAAAAAATTCGTAACGATTTTGTTTGTATAAAAAATAAATTCTATAGTAGACGTCAACAACTCATTGATCTTAGTAAGTTTTTGTTCATAAGCATTTGTGTTTATTATAATGAATATTCATTTAAGATGATGGATGTGGCATGGCTAGTGGGTTTCATCAAGCATTGTGTCTTACACGTTCTGGTCCAACATTGAATATTAATTTAGCATTTACATGCTTTTATGTGCCATGAAATTTTGTTGAATTTTCTTGTAAATATTTACGAAAAGATATCACTAAACGAATGACTGAAGGTGAAATCGAAGGAATAAGATGACTTTTTAAAAATTTGCCAAGTATATTTTAATGTTGAATTTGTCATGTAAAGGAAAATTTTTCTTTTAATATAGTCGAAACAACTCATGCTGGTCGTCTTCTTCGATATCGAGTAAAAGGTTTTGGTAAATCTGCAAATCAATTAACATTTAATCTTCGTTCTGATAAAGATCAAACAACAACAACAACATCTATGAAATCTGAAAATGAATTAACATTTGATGATTCTAATGGTTACCAATCAACAATAGAATTGAAGAAATCAGTTAGTGTAGCTGAATATTTTACTAAAAAATATAAACGATTACAGTATCCTAATCTTCCTTGTGTGGATGCTCGAAATGGAAATGAAGAAAAAACAAATTGGTTATCAATGGAAGTTGTTAAGGTAAAATTAATCAATAAATATATTTTAGTAAGTTTATTTAATAGATTGTTGAATAGGAAAGTTCTTTAAGACCACTTGATAGTGTTCAACGTGCTCTCGTTTCAAAAACAACAATTGTTAAACCAGATAGACGATATGATGAAATTATGAAAATTGTACGATAAAGAAATTTTCAATCAGATCCATTTCTACAAGTGTTGAATATCAAAGTAGATACAAATGAAATGATGAAAATTAAAGGTAATTGTTAATATTTAAAATTCTATTATAAATTAATCAATTAATTTAGCTCGTATTTTACCACTACCGGAAGTAAAATATCGTGGTCAAAAAAACAATGAAGTTGCTGAACGTGTTGCTGTAGGAAAATTGGCAATACGTAATTAATTCTATACTAGTCCAATAATTAATCAATAGGAAATGATTTATTTTGGTCCAAAACCTGATGAAGGTATTCTCTATATTTTAAAAGATTTTCAAAATCAACTTCCATCAGTATGTGTTCATTTGTATATCGTCATTTTATTGAACTAAAAAAAAAATAATAATAATATTTAGCTATTGGCTGACTTCGGTGTGATATTTAAATCAGCACCAACAGTTTTTGCAAAACCTTCTCGAAATGAAGATATTGAAGTTGCAATGAAACAAACTTCTAATGAAAATTGGCAAATAGCTATTGTTATTCTTAATAATGTTCTACATGAAGTGTATGAATCTATTAAACAATGGAGTAATCAAAAACTTGGTGTACCCACTCAATGTGTCGCAGTTTTCAATCACTTCAACGAAATGTTGGCAAATATCGCATGTGTAAGGTTTTGTTTTTTAAACTAAGTGTGTTTTTTTTTGAACGATATTATTTTCAGATGTTCAAAATTTAAGTCAAAAAATAAATACAAAAATCGGTGGTATCAATGGGATTGTTAATTTAAAAGCAGCACTTAGTCATTCATCAAATGAAGATTTATTTATGTTTGTTGGTGCAGATGTAAGATATTTTGTTTAATGAAGAATTCGTAATCAAAAAAAATAAATAAATCTTTTTTTCTCTTCTAGATCACTCATACAACTTGTTCGACTGATCAACCACCAATAGCAGCTGTTGTTGGTTCATGTGATCCAACTTGTAGTCGTTATGCAGCACGTCTTTCTGAACGTATGTTTTGTTTTTTCTATTCTTTAATTAATTTTTGAAAAAAAAAATCGTTTTTTTTCCTTCGTAAAGAATATCCAAAAATAGCCCGTTGTGCGGTAGAAATTATCAAAGAACTAGATAAAATGATTATTGATTTATTACAAGTTTATGAGCGTACATGTGGAAATTGTTTACCTAATCGACTTGTTTTTTATCGTGATGGTGTTGATGATGAACTATTTCAAAAAGTACTTGATAATAAAATCAATAAAATAAAAGATGCTTGCCAAGGTAAGTTTTCATTTTAGGTTGAAATTATTTATTTTTATGTTTGTTGAGTTGTGTATGGAAATCGAAAATTACCTAGATTAACATTTGTTATTATTAAGAAAAGTCATCATACACGTTTCTTTGCTTATGATGGTCAATATACAAAAAATATCGAAGCAGGTACAGTTATTGATCAAGATATAATACATCCAACACAATTTGACTTTTATTTATGTTCACAAGCGGCTATGTAAGTCTTTATTTGTAGATTAAAATAATTAAATTTAATTAATTTATTAATAGAATGGGTACATCTCGTTCAGCTCTTTATCATGTTCTTCATGATGAAAATGAGTTTAGTAGTGATGATATTCAACAGCTTACATATTGGGTATAGATTTTAAAACTAAGCATATTTATTGAATAAATTTTTAAAAATAGCTATGTCATACAGATGCTCGTTGTACAAAATCAGTCTCAGTTTCAGCTCCAGTTCATTATGCAGATTTAGCAGCATATGCGGCTCGTATGTTTAAATTTGATGATGACCTTGATCACAATGAAGAAACATTAGCGAAAGAATTTTTTATTTCTTATATTTTGATAATTTTTTTTAGTGATGATGTACTTGATGAAACAGAAAATATTTCATTAAATGATATTGAAACTAAAGTTATGATATTCAATGATAAAATTCAAAATAATATGTGGTTTGTTTGAACATTGACTGTGTATTTTTTTATTGAAAAATTTTTTTTTTTTTTTTTTTTTTTTTTTACAATTGTTAATAAAGACATGTTAAGCATGTTTGAAGATCTATAAACAACTCTGTAAGCTATGGCATGTAGATTTGTCTCAACAAAAAAAGAAACAGAAATACTCTTTGAATAATCTATCAGATTAAAAATGATAGAAAAATAAAACGATAATGCATACAATCCGACAGTTTTGGGATACTAATTATAAAAATAGATGATCCTAAATCTACTGTGCTAATTTATCTTTCAACAAAAAACAAATTATAAATAGTTCATTTAAAATTTGATAATGTTTAAGATGATTGAGACAATAACCTCTAAATCTTTTCTCTTATCATCTGCAGACAATTGTATGCAATATTTTGTTTAAAAAAAGTGTTATCATTATTTCTAAGGGATTAATATCTGAAAGATGATGTAGTTGCTCGTGCCAATCACAAAGATATAGTTTTATTCTATCTATTGTCGGGCATATTTCTTCATCATTGTTGTACTTAATCGTTTAGAAATACGAGAAGAAAATGAACGCTGTTCCAGTAATAAAGAAGATAATATATGTTGAATATAGCGCACGCTGTCGTTTTTATTTTTATTGGAAGCAGACATACTAAGAAAATGATTAGCAGTTCAATACAGAGATGTCCATCGCGGCTGAAAACCTGCCGCTGCCGCGCCGCAGCCGCTCCGCTGTGGTATGAAATCGAAAGCAGCCGCGGCGCTGCCGCGCCGCTGTATTATATAAAATACATGTTGCTGCGGTGCTTCTGCATCTCAACATACTAAAAACATTGCCGTTGTTGCAGCGATATTTGAAGAAAAGGTTACAGCACCGCTACTATCATTATATGAAGAAAAAATGCCATTTGTCGGTCTACAATAGTCATGCAGTCTGGTTTTCACTCGAAATCAATGAGGAATAACGGTTTAGATGCTATAGTAGCAAATAACTTCTAAGTATATATAGAACAAGTATATTTTACTAGCATTTAAGCAAATAATCTAAATATTTACAATATATATAATCATATAAATGTATGACATGAAAATGATTGATTTAAAACCTACAAAGAATCATGTCATGTGCCTTTCTATATTCTAATTTAAAGAAGAAAATTAATTATAAAATGCATTAATGTGCACGATATTAATAAACTCTTGTTGTTCATTTTCAGTTTGCGATAGTTTGATAGGTCTAAATCTGCAAAAAAATAAAAAAGTAACATTAAAACAAACAGATTAATTACGACTATTTATCATGATTGCCATTTTTAATACAGAAAAAGAATGGAAAAAGATTTTAGCAATGAAAGCATGAACTGAAAATGATATTAAAAATATCTATTAGACGTAAGGCAATACAATAAACACTTTCATATTGTAATCAGTATATTTCTCGTACCAACGTAATTAACTTAGATAAGTTTAAAGCGTTTATTTGTCTCTGCACTTTAAAATCACCGTAAAATACAACATTTAGAAAAAGAATTTGATTTGTCTACTTTATGTGAAAGACTAGTTTAATTTCAGCTGTGAAGCTGGAAATTTTTTAGAATTATAGAGTAAATTTTGTGCAAAAAAATCGTGCCGCGTTGCTGCCGCGGTGGCTAAAAAAATGAGAAGCCGCGGCACCGTTATGAATGATCTGCCGCGCCGTGCTAATCTATAAAAAAAACCTGCCGCTGCCGCTGCCGCGGTAGGCGGCGCGGCAGCGGCAGCGGCGCGGCGGCGGCGCGATGGACATCTCTGGTTCAATATAATGCATTGTTATTCTGGTCCTTATATTTTCGTTTGTTTGTATCTATTCTTTATTATAAAGAAAAAAAAAATGGCTCCAACAACTGAAAACATGAAAGTACGTTTTTTTTTCTCGTGTTCATATTTTAATAATTAATTTTTGTTCAAATTGTAACCGTCTGTGTAGTACTACGTACGCTTCTCTATCTCTAGTCGTTATTAATAACATACAAGCATTTCGCTTTAATTTCTCATTGTAGTAGTAGTCTTAGTCGTTGTTCTTAGATTTCAGAAAAAATATAAAATGAATCCAAATCAATCACAACAGCCACCAGGACCAGGAGTTCCACTTCAATCATTGGATTTAGACGAACTTGAAGTAAATTCAGTTTCTTGCTATAACAAAAAAAAATGCATGCACTAACCGTTCTAACTGATGCTTTTTTTCATATTTATATTTTATAAAATGAATTTTACATTTTCTCATTTTAGAACTTATTTGGTCCTCGAGCAACATTACCATCATTGTCAGATATTTATACAACAAGAATTAATGCTCTTCAGGCTACAAATACTAATTTAAGAGAAGAAAATAATAGACTTGAAACATATGCAACGGAAGTTAATAACAAAAATCATGATTTAACGGTGAAAGTTCTTGAACTCGAAACACAAAATCTTCGAGTTGCATTTGGAGCTGAAATTCTAAAACAACTATTAGGTGATTTACAAGAAAAACTTGAAAAAATGCTCAAGACTTCGAAGAACTTCAAAAAAAAGTTCAACGCTTGGAAGAATTTGAAAAAAAAGTTCAAGACCTTGAAGCACGTGAAAATAAAGTTCAAGACTTCGAAGAACTTCAAAAAAAAGTTCAATGCTTCGAAGAATTTCAAAAAAAGGTTCAAAACTTTGAAGAATTTCAAAAAAAATCGAAAATTTTGAAAAATTTACACAAAAATTCGAAAAGTTTGAAGAGTTTCAAAAAACAATTGATAAAGAAAATCATGATTTAAAAGAACCAACGTCACAAATTAAATCAAATTTAACAAAATTTAAGTTGTCAAATCGTGATGTTGAAAAACCACCAAAAGAACATAATGGTAAGTACTAATAGGTAAAAACTAGAGTTAGTAAAATTTATGCTTGTTTAGGTGTTAGACTCAAAGCATGGTCGTACTAATAGTACTTTTCTCTTGGTTATTAATGTTTTACTTTTGGAAAATGATACTCAATCTACGACTATGGTGATGAAATTCGCTTTGTGATCAACATCATTATATATTGTTCAGATTTTTGCTCTTGTACAAATCGGCAGCTTTATTTCAATATTTGTTCTCTACTTTTCTTTCTCTTATTTCAAATTTGTTAATCAAGAGATTTTTGTATTTACTCAGTCAAATAAATCTAGAGAATAGGAAAACATATATTTTACTTAAAAGATTTAAAATAGAGAGTAAAAAAAACATTATTGGTTATTCTTACTTGACATTTTAACAGATCTTTGTAAAAGTAAATTGTTTAATAGAACGTGTACTTTTAAACTATTGGAAAATTGTTGCAAAGCTTCTGTAGTATAAAATATGTTCTAAAATTAAAACAATGTTTTCGATCAGATCGATATTTTCTAGTGGAAATAAAGCTTTCGATTGAATGAACTTCTTGGTTTTCATATGATCAGCGATTGTACAGTCTCATTCTAATCGATAGATATATGTGAAAATACATTTGAAACTAATTTACTATATCTATATTTTAACTATATGCATTATCGTATAGAATATTGGTATAATACTAATCCTATTGATGCTATTTAGTCATTGATAGAGTTTTCGTTTAAAATCATTATAAATTAACGGATACATCGCAAACCAGAAAAATCATCAGCTTTCAGATCCTTGGATTTCTTACGGAAGCTTCAAGGAAAGTACAGTTTCTTGCCGAAAACAGGCGCTATTTTTTGACCTGCGAATTAAATGCCATCGATAACTTGATTGTAGACTTAGGATCAATGCTGTATGATGAAACAGATACATGAAAAATTTTCGAAATCAGCGAAATGTATATCTCTCAGATGTTATGAAACCAAAGAACCAAAAACATTGAAAGTAATTTTTTATCACTATGTTGATTGAAGAAAGATACTGTATGATGAAATTGGAAATTGTTTCATGATATTACTTTTAAGAAATGAATAATGAAGATACAAAAATAGATAAAAAATTAATTTTGTAATTTAAATAATGTGTAAACTTCGAACTACAAAGTAGAAGACAAGATGTTGTATTAATAGATTTAATAAATTTTCTAATAAAAGTTGTGCATGGCTTTTAAGGTGTTGTTATTGAATTTTATGCTACATAGCTTTTCTACGAAAGTCTACAAAGTCTTTAATTAGAAAATCTTGTATTTTGCCCTTTAGTGTGAAATATAAAAATTATTCTTTATCCAATCTTAGTCTTGAAACATATATTATTATTTTTTTTTGATCATCTATCAGTTCATTTTTATTGCAACCAGCATGAAGTTCCTTACAGAAGAGTTAACGATGAAGATTGGCTTTTCAAAAGTCAACTTGTTTTTCTTGATAAATATTTTATGTTAAATGATTACTACTGATCCATAACGAATATTTTCCTATTACAACGAAGGATTTTGATTTTTTCTCGTTTTTATGCTTTTGAATTAATATTTGAATAAATTTGTTTTCATTCTAATCCGATGATGAATTCGATTTTTTACTTGCAAATGAAACTTTATATTGTGTTGTATTATCATTATTCAAAATAAGAAGATATTCACATTAGAGAAAAGTATTTCGAGTAAAAATCGCTCGTTCATTCGGGTTCTTTGGATTACTATTTCATTTTAATCTTCTTAGACAAAAAAAAAAACATATTAATTCTCTTTGGAGTAATATGCTCTTTATATGACAGAATCTATGACTAGTAGTAGTCTACGTTTTCAAATTAGCAAAGGATTCTTTGCAATATAATACATATCTGTAGAAGAGAAGAAAATAAAATACAATTTTAAGCAAAGATAACGTCTGCAAACTATTCATCCTCTTCTATGTAGTGTTATTTTATGATTTTGTTTCAATTGAATTTTCGAATGTTATTGTCAAATGATATTGGGAATCGATGTATTAAACGAAATGATTTATTCAAATATTGTAAGAAGATCAACACATGAATAATAATATAACTAAAGAATAAGCATGCTCAACAAATAGTAAAATAGATCTAAAGTATATCTTCATATATAACATCAAACTGTTCGATATACAGAATAATAAAATTCTTCTTTTTTCATTCAATCATATCAAATACTAAAATTATCTTCTCCATTCAATTTTTTGTAATCTGAAAAGATCTTTCAATAGATCTACATCCATATTTCACGATGAAATGAGTTTCTTGATCTAATTCAATGCCAAACTAAAGTTCATATTTTTTCAATTGAATGTGCAAGAAAATGAATTTTAGCAACAATCATCAATATTGAATCCAGATATTTACAGTGATATTTCTTAATCTGCATCATTTATCATATCACCATTTGCTGAAATTTCAATTTTCTGAATATTGACATTTGTCATGTTCTTGTTTTGTTAAATAAATCTTTCAATTAACAAAGTCTATTACATTGAATATTGCACAGACTCATGCGTAATTGAGAGAACCGGTAACATTTTTAAAATGATGTTAGCAAAAATACTGATGAGAGCTGAAAGATTGACTTCGAGAGAAGATGAAAGAAAAAAAAAATAACTGCAATTTCTCTTTTGTGGTCTACAAAAATTTTTTAATGAGCTCATCTGCTGATGGCAGACTTTATTTAAATCAGCTTATAGAATTAAAAATAATAGAATAAATAAATAGAACTGAAATTGAGCAGTGTTAAAAAAAAATTCATATTATCATTTCTTTATTTGATTATCTTATAATAATAAAGAACAAAATGATATCAAATGTACCTGAGTCTTCAATAGTTACTTTTCTACTCGATCTATATTTATCTCTGATTCATATACCATCAATCACTACTCAATTCTTTTTATGGGATTATCTAATCACATTCCTACTTGGCTTCATTGGTAATGCACTTAGTTTCTTGATATTTTTCAGGCCAACATTAAGAAACATGTTAACAGGACGTTTATTCATCTTATTAGCCATTTCTGATACATTATATTTACTTGTAACTATTGTAGATTTTATTGAATTTGGAGTTCAGGTAATATTTTCTTGTTTATGTTTAATTTCTTTTCAAAATAAAATATAGATTCGATCGACTTTATGATCGTGTTGCTTATGATGAACTCTATCGTTTCCGTGTATTTATTATTTGTGTAGCTCAATTGTATTCAGCATGGCTAGTTATGATTATAACAGCTGATCGATGGGTTTGAATAAGGTTTCCATTCAAGTCAAACTTATTATGCACACTGAAAAAAGTTTTATTGATTTCACTAATTCTTCTTATTGTAAATACTGGTCTTAATTCACACATGTTATCACCATGTTTTGGTATGCTAGTACCTGGAATACCACATATGGCATGTGAAGCAAATGGAATCAATGTCAAATATTGGAGATTCTATTATTTACAATGGACCATTATTCAGGTTGGTAAATGAGATCATAAATAAAAGAAATAAAAGAAAAAGTATTTGAAACTGCATTGGCATTTGACAAGATATCTTTTCAAAAGATAAATTCTCTTAAAAGTAACTTGATAATTGAGGCAATCATTTTTCCTTATTGATAAATTAATGATCAATAGCAGTATGACCAGTTTTTTTTTAATGTAGGTGGTAATAACTTCTTTTGGACCTGCTCTATTAATGATAATAATGGTAATTGATATATGTATTAAAATTCTTTCTCACAAGAGAAATGTTGGTCAGCAAGCACAATCCATAAATATTGATCGAACACAAAGACGAGACAATCGTATTCATAATCAAATGATATTGCTTATGTTATCAAGTATTGTCATTTTCCTTGTAACAACTCTTCCGTTGACTATTAGGTTAGTTCTCGTTTCGTCGAAAATAAATTTTTCACCCATTCCCGTTCCGTCGAAAATGAAAAAAACGACTGTTCCCGTTTCGTCGAAAAGATAAATTCTAACTAATCAATGAAAAATAGATTATATCCTTTGATAAGATTTCTTCGTCATATCAATCAGGAATAGCGCCTATTTACTTGTAGATACATTTGTCAAAAAATTTTTCTTATAGAGCAGATTTGGATACACAAATAAGAAATTATTAAGAGAAAATATGAATATAGAATTTCCAATAAATAGTTGTGTTAAAAATTTTGTCCTGTGTGTAGCGAAAAGCATCAAGTAATAAAGTTGGTTTCTTACGTTTACTTTCAACAATAGATAGCATCTTTTTGTTTAATAATGAATATAGCAAAAAAATGAATTGTCCCTTTTACTCCACATATATATACTTTTACAAAATTTCAGATTAATAGTATAGGGATATCAATTAGTTTCTTTTTAAGAAAATAGTTCAAGTCAATCATAGATATTGAGCTTATCGCTTTGATTATACTCTTTTCATTACAATTTAATTTTTCGACGAAACGAGAACAGTCGTTTTTGCATTATCGACGAAACGGGAATGATGAAAAAAGGGTGTATCAAATTTTTTGACGAAACAGGGAAATCAATTAGCGTTTCGACGAAACGAGAATCTACCGTTCATATTCAATGTTTTTTTAATTATATTCCAAGTTAAAGAGAAGGCAATCGACAGATAAATAAGGCTTCATTATTATTATTATTATTATTATTATTATTTTAAGTCTATAAAATGTCACGTAAGACAAGACAAGTGCAACTTTTTTTTTTTAATCATCATATATCTATATGAACATAAGACAAAAGAAGTAGATTAAAAAAAAGAGAAATTTCAAGTATGTGATGTGCGTGTTGTCTTATGTCGGTAAAAATATCAACGATAGAATATTATAACATTATTTAAAATAGTAAAAAGAATAATGCAGGTGAAAAAAAAACACATACACACATTGTATAAATAGTCAGATTTGATAAGAAAATGCTATTTATTTTGACATTTTACTTGAATGATCCATTATTACTCATGACGATCTTTCGACACTATCCTAGTCGAAGAATACAATCCGTATACAGTCGTTTATACTGAAGCATGGAATGTTAACAAAGTCTTATTTTCTGATAAACACATGCTCAGCCATACAACCATCTGTATGATAGAACACACTACAATTACGACATTTTATATTCAGAATACAGTCAGTGATACTGGGCGTCTTGTAAAGACATAACACAAGGCACGCACAAACACTTCACCTTGATAGATGTCGCTCGTCTATGATGGGGGAAAAAGAGAACTTATATTAATGAAACTATGATTTACAGATGAATAAAAATCTTATTTAGTTTTTTTTTGTTTTCTTTATTTCCGTCATTTTAATACAATACGATCATTGTTTTAATTGATTGGATCATCAATCTGACGATTCATCATCATCCTGCAAAAGAACAATGAGAGCGATACGTGTATATTTTTCGCCTTTCCATTTCTCATTAGTTTTCATTCTTTTTTTTCTTTTATACAGTTATTTAATAATCTTTTTTTTTGTTAGATGGCTGAATATGATTTAACCGCAAAATTAGGTCGTTATTTCGATCGTCATCTCGTTTTTCCATTATTAGAATTTTTAACTGAACGAAACGTAATAGAAATAATTATTCATTTAATATATCTTTTGAAAATAATTTTTCTTATTAGATCTTTGATGAAAAAGAAATTCTTCAAGCTAAATATGATTTATTACAACATACAACTATGGTTGATTTTCAACTTGATATTTACAAGAAACTTCATCTTGATGGAGAAGAACCAAATGGTTTTTATTTTTTTTTATTTAATATAAACAAAAAACAAAAACTTTAAATTTATTTTATTTTAGAATTAATTGAAAAACGTGAAGAAATTGTATCTCGTTTTACTGAACTTTCACAAGCTGTTCAACCATTACTTGATGCTGTTGTTACTGAAGATGCTGCTCGTCATATTGAACATCAACGGTAAAATTTTTTTCCAAAAAAAAAAATCAATATAAGATATATTCTTTTTATGTATTTAGAAATAGTGATTCAATGCTTGCATTAAACTTTTTACAAAAAACCTATGGTGTAAGTTATTCAATGAAAAATCTTTTACAATAGATAAATATTTTCATATTTAATTTGAGATCATATACTCGAAAATTAATTATATTTGAGATGATTTTAATCAGTATTTCTCAATGAGTTTTTACGATATACCATAAGTAGTAAGTTTTTGACAGATAAAAATTCACAAGAATAAGTTAATCAAATATTTCTGTAATTGCTCCCGTACGCATTCGACCTTCATTACTTTGTATGTTCTCTTCTAATAATATAAACAGTACTTTGTGTCACGATGATCTAGAAAACGGCAATTCCGTAGAAACTCTTTGTCAGAGAGATCGATGTCTTCATCTTCAGTAAATTCTGTGAAACAACGATTTAGTCTCTAGCCAAACAAGAGCGATAATGAAAACCTTCGACAGGAAAAGATTGGCTATAGGTGAAATCGTTTCGCACGTTAGCTTTCTTTTTTTCAAACTTCGAGGCAATTTTATTAATCAATGCTGCATAGACAGTTGAAAGTAGATAATGAGTCATATAGATGATTAAGCGATAAATTCACAGGAATCTATGTATTTTTCAGATGCCTGATCGGATTGATAAAATTCCTCAATCAAACAGCTCGTAATCAATACATAGAGTACCGTAACGAAAATGATGAATGCTTTTAATCAAAGATTATTTGCAAAAAAAAATAGCTTCAAACAAATTGATTGTACGTGATTAAGCATGGCTACTAGCTCAAATACTTGATTAATTCTTCCTCGCGGAATTTTATCTGTCAAAATCATAACTACTTTTGGTATGCTCCAAGTAATACTTTATGTTTGGTGATTAATGAAAACATATTTGAAATACCTACTGAATGGAATAAGAATGAGATAATATAAAACATTGAATTTCATATTTATCTGAACTGTTATCTCGGAAGAATTTTAACATTGTTAAAGCACTCAATTGAGTCAATATGGAAATTATATAGAATAAATAACATTTATCAAGACTGAATCGGACTGAAATAAAAGAAGTCGATGAAATTAATCAAGCTAAAGAAAATTAATTTTTTGTTTTTATATGAAGAATGAAAATGTAGAGATCCTTTTACATAGTAAGTATTATATTTATTCAAAACAT